AGATAGATAGATAGATAGATAGATGATGATAGATAGATAGATAGATATGAACAAACTAGGATAGATAGATAGATTTGAAAAAACTAAGATAGATACATAGATAGATGGATATGAACAAACAGATAGATAGATAGATAGATAGATAGATAGATAGATAGATAGATAGATAGATAGATAGATAGATATGAACAGACAAGGATAGATAGATATGAATATATGAGGATAGATATATATGAACAGACTGAGATAGATATGATAGATAGATAGATAGATAGATAGAGAGGATATGAACAGACTGAGATAGATAGATAGATAGATAGATAGATAGATAGATAGATGATAGATAGATAGATATGAACAGACTGAGATAGATAGATAGATAGATAGATAGATAGATAGATAGATAGATAGATAGATGAATGAACTTAGATAGATAGATGATAGATAGATAGATAGATAGATAGATAGATAGATAGATAGATAGATAAGTAACAAGTACGAAACAAAGTGAGAAAGAAATAAATTCGCTGGTAATTAATTATGTTCATCTTTCAATCGGATTAATTCTCAAAAGAGTTTTTCTTCTTCCGCTGAATCATGAATTTCCTTCATGAAAAAAAAAAATTCTTCCCAATGCACATTTTAACGACACTATCTTATCTTTGGTCATGACCATTTGCAATATAGAGACACTTCCGAGTGAATATTATTCTAATATCGTATTTTATATTACAAGGCTAATTGATGTCTTGCCTTACTTAAAAAACAACATTTGAAATTGTTTGTTTTTTTTTGGGTTTTTTTTTTGTTTTTTTTTTATCTGGACTCGAACACCAAACACATGCACCAAGAAGAATGAATGAATTACCACAGCCACATTAGGTAAATCACTGAAAAGTGTTTACAAGTCTTTCCTTGTGATAATTATACAGTGAGAATTAAATGTTTTATTAAATTGCCAATGTGCTCAGAATTTTCGAAAGGTTCGTAAGTTCGTAATTCCTCATTCCATTTGGTTGTTGAGGTCACGATGAGAATTTAGAGAGAAGGAATATATTTGGAGTTGATGGGATTTAATAAATAAGATCGAAAAAAATGCCAATAAAAATGAATGATAGATAAAGAGACAAATAAGCAAAGAACACATTTGAATCAGAGTTTATTTTTGTGTGTGTAAGGGGGGTACTCAATGAATGACAGTCTCTCTCAGAAAATGCGTTCAGAAAACATATCGACTACTCTACAACTGGATCGAGAAATGTTTCAAGTTAAATCCTTTATAAAATATGTATTTTCATCTCCTTGCTTTTTCACTTTATTTTCTGCTTGGACGGTAAATCATTTTTGACAGGAGACATTAACCAAAAGCTAGAAGAGATATTTCACCCAATTCTGTTATTTGGAACTTACTGTTGTCGCAAACCCGACATAGAAATTTCAAAAGACAATTCGATCCTTGGTTTACTATGAGTTTCCGATCAAAAGAAGCTTTTTCATCCTTTATTTAAAGAAACTACTTCAATACTTTATAGCTAATAACCAAAATGGCGGCAGTTTCACTTTTTTTTTCAGATTGGCGAGTTGCTAAAAACAACTTAAACATTCTATCTAACTAGTGGGCTATCATAAAAGGCTGGGATGGGGAATAGAGCGAGGAGAACTCGTTGATTGTGAAAGGAAGGTGGAGTAAAGAGCGAGTCTTTTCCAAACAGTGTCCGTTTAGTCGACCAATATTATACGACTGGAACTTTCAGGGCTAAACCAACAACTATCATTTAAAGTTATCTCAGGAATGTCTATAAATATAACACATTTTTTCGAAGGGATGGACCAGTATATAAAATTAGATGAACTCTACCCTAATTTGAAATTGTGACCACGTGGTAAGCAAATATGCTATACATCAATAATGTGCTACTGTAATATTTCGGAAAATTTAGCTTTAGAATGTAACTCTTTTTATTTTAATATTAATAAACCATTCAACGAGGCATATATATATTTATCTTTTTAAATGATTTTTAGGTAAGGCGTGAATCAAATCAGATAAAAGAACAAGTCATTGTGTGAATAGACAAACCATACGCCAAAAGCTGAAACTTAGTTCTCATGTCAAATTTGACATACTCAGGAATTCAACTATTAAAATCGTATAAAACACGTGGTAGAGCTGGGACAAAGAGTCAAACATTGATTAGAACTACAATAAATTTATGACTATCTAAATTCTGATGGGACCTGGCTCCTAAATGATGATATGTGTAGAAAAAGACGGGGTTATTTACTTCTGCCGAGGATCAGAGTGTAGTATCTGTACTTTCTGTGAAGTGTTGAATAATCTAAAAATGTGTGGGATATACATTGTGTTATAAATATTCGACAATGTGCTTTCAGGAGAAGTATTTGTGTTCATTCAGGGTTGTACTGCAAGTATTTGCATTCACACACACCCAGTACGAAGAGAGATACAAACCTAAACGCACTGTGATTCTAAAACTAAGCCATACAAATGTTATGAAACACTAGAGGAAGAAAAATTAAAATTGCAGAAAATAAATTTATGTTTTTAGTGATTTTAAAAGTTATAATCACTATTCAGTATTCCACTGACACGATCGATAGTCACAACCTGATGTGCGATGAAGGAATGCAACAATGACAAAATGTTTCAACAGGAGTGTTCTGCCATTAGTAAACACAAAACTCTTGCAAGATCTTTGCTTTTTTTGTTGTACATAAAGTTTTCAACTTTCGCTACATAGGTTCGATTATTTTAAGGTGAGGATTTCGGGAATTGTATTCATATATAAGCTTATAATCCTGCCATGTTTTCTTTGCCGAGAAACTTTTTTGTTACACACGATGTCTGACAAGATGATCCGTCATATTAGAATTTGTCCCCTTTTTTCCATATCTGGCAAGAGGTGGAACTCTAACATAGAAAAATATTCACTGTTCAGTGTTCCATCGATTTTATCAACTTGCCTTTTCTATTGCTTTTGATGTAGTCTCAACCTCAACCACCAAATTGTAATGGCGTCCCTGTAGATCCTGAATTGTTTCTTGTACCAACTGGTCTTTGGATATACTTCATTCATTAGAATTCAGTTGTATTTTGCTTTATTCACTGTATATTAGTTTTACCAGTTTTTTTTTATTATCCTATAACAGACGATCTTTTGGTCAGAGTTTTGATCTTGATCAATGTTTTTGATTAATGGTGACGTTTTGCTGCAATGCCTCCATTTAGATGACTTATATAGTATACTTCTTTTTTTTACACTAAGCATCACCATGTACAAGGCCCGGGGGGCATTCGAGGTAGAGGGTTACATTAAGAGGCAGTTTATGTGGATAGGAGGGGAAGATAATGGTTAACACTAGCCATGAACAGGTTAAAATTGTAGTGATCGTGGAAACATCCTCTTGAGAGTCTGTTGCATAGGGCAGTGGTTGGCGGGAAGAGGCTTACTCGAGTGGAATATGGGGGGAACGTGGGTGATTTGATACAATGTGGTGGTATATATATATATATATATATATATATATATATATATATATATATATATATAGAGAGAGAGAGAGAGAGAGAGAAAGATTCAAATTAAATATAATAATGTTTTATTTTATGAAAGTATTTATTTATTTATATATATATATTTGATATTTCAAATTGTCCTCAATGTTTCATCAGAAATAACTGTTTGTTACAAATAAATTAAAATTACTGTTTGTTAGCAAGTAGCGTCCTTCGCGAGACGCGGACGTCACGTGATATGGAACGTCACTGTTCGGATATTCCTAACTTAAATCTAACTGTCATAAATATTTTAAATGTTGTTTAAAAAAAAAAAAATTTTAACTATATCTAAAAAAATTGCTTAACTATTGAAACATATATATATATATATATGTGTGTGTGTGTGTGTTGTGTTTTTAGGCAGCAATCCTTCATTTATACATGTTTCATTAAAAACGACAGACAAAGCACTACGATTAAGCTCTTTATTTAATTATTCTCAAGTTCGAATAAGTGATTTCTTTTTGGGACATAGAGTGTGTAAAAATGTTCTATACTTCCGAGCGTTTTCGGCTATACTTTTACCGATTATTCAGTTTAATTGAGTGTGTGTGCGTTGGGTATATGTTTTTAGTGTTATAGAGATGTTTTATTTTCCGAACACGGTTAGCACATTGTTACCGTGTTCGTAGTTAATATTATTAAGTGTTGGCTTTTTCTTTTTTTTAAAACCCTAATAATGAAAAAGAAAGCACTTGTTCGAACACAATAAAAAAATGAAATAAAAAGCTTAATCATAGTACCTTGTTTGTCGTTTTTAAGGAAACATGCATATATATATATATATATATATGTGTGTGTGTGTGTGTGTGTGTGTGTGTGTGTGTGAGATTCAATGCTTCATTGAATATATATTTATATATGATAAAAATATAGTTTTAAGATATGTTATATTTATGGGTTAAAGTGCTCAATATCAGGAATAGAGCGTATGTAAATATAAAAGTGGACTGCTTAAACGCAATCGTCATGCCTGACGAAAATTTAATAAGGAAAAAGTTCATATCTGGTGGAAGAGAAGATTAATGGATAGAAATATAACCAAAAAAAAAAAAAAATGATTATTTCAGGTTGCAGTGTCTATTGCATAATTCCATCCTGCTTTTTCTTCATCGCTGTAATTTTCAGTACCGAGCATCATCAACTCAGCATTTCCTATGAAACATTAAGTAATGCATGAGTGTATGTCTGCTCTTTATTTCTGTGTGCTTATGTTTGTGTTTGTGTGTGTGTATGTGTGTGAGACAGAAAAAGAGGAAAAGAAAGTATGTGTGAGTGTGCATAGGTGTGGATACGTGAGGATTACATGCATTCCAGTTACGTCTCCTTCTCTTTAATCCCAGGTCAAATGCCATCTGTTGAAATTGATCCACCCTAATTAGAAGTCCATTTCATCCGTCCATAAAAAAACCGCCATCATATTCATTAGGGGTGGGGGTGCTGCATTTTGCATCCTGGACGGACTCTGTGTTCAGATTGTTTTTTTTTTGTTTTGTTTTTTTTTTTAACTAAGAAGCCTTTTCAATTTGAAGGTTTAGTGATATACATTGTTCAAATCTTTCATTCCTTTCTATTTCACCAAGCGAACGGAACGACATAAACCCTAACCCTAACCCCGCATCACATTTTAACTGTCGCTTTGTTCCGAATTGCAGAAACGCACCCCCTACCCCAATTCGTAAACAAGTGTTTTCTTTTCTGGACACAAAGTGTTTAAAAACTGTCAAAAAGTTCTCCATATCCGAACGCTTTCGGCTAATCTTTTAGCCATTATCAAGGGCGATTTATTTTTTTTATTTCTAACTAAATGTGTGGATTTTTATGTGTGTGTCTAAAATTACAGGAATGTCTTATTTTCTGAACACGGTCAGCACATTGTGGTCGTGTTCGTAGTTATGTTATGTTATTGATTGTTGGCTTTTCCTTTTTTATTATTAAGGCTTTCAT